AAACCAATCCGCCGGCCCCCTTGTGGGGCCACCAGGCTGTAGGCGCGTGATTCGCAGTTTCCTGTACCAGTTGTACTTTCTAGTTTCCAGTGTTACAGTTCTGCTTCTTGCTGGTTACTGTAACTAGTTGACTTCTTGCTGGTTACTGTAACTAGTTGATTGACCGCGCGAGGGGGGGGGAGGCCCAAACAGGATTTTCCAGCACCCCCTGGGCGCGTTGTCTGAATTGCTGGGGGGGCTCGAAATCGACACCCCTCACGCAGATCCGCGGGGTCAGGGTCCAAAAACACATGTGATTTGCCACATTTCTGAAATTCGGTGCCACCCCTCACGCAGATCCGCGGGCTCAGGGTCCAAAAACACAGGGGATTTGCCACATTTCTGAAATTCGAACCCATCACGCACATCCATCGCAAGGCGTGGTAACCCAAACTGTGAGAACTCCCTCGGCCCTTTCATCGCAAGGTGTGGTAACGAAGCCCTTAAACCATACACGTCTTACCAATCGCCAGGTGTGGTAACCCCTCTTGTGATCAGTTGGTTTTGCTGATTGCGACTCGGCTTCGCATGAAGTTTCGATACTGCTTCACGACAGCGCCAAGGCCTCATGACTTAGCTCTTCCATGGCCCATTCTCCGAGAGAGGGGGCCGGCGGCAGGGGGCGAAGCCCTTACGGATCATGAAGGATGTAGAAGGAGGAGGAGGAGGAGGAGGAGGAGGAGGAGGAGGAGGAGGAGGAGGAGGAGGAGGTGTTGGTGTCAATCTCTAGGACTGCGACACAACGACAACGACGGCGGAGGCGTCCAGCCGACCGACGGCCCGGCCGGCCGCCCAAGACCCGTTCGGCGTCGGACCGTGAATAACACTTCCGGGGTGCACCCCGGGCAACTCTCAACCCAAGGCTGATGTTGATGATGCCCGAGGATCGGGAGCGGCCAAGAGGGGGGTGTCCAAAAGGGAGGGGGTACAAATCATGACCGGCGGCATGTGCGCGGCCCAGCGGGGGGGCCAGGAACGTAATGAAATAAGAAGAGGCGCCATGAAATCTGGGGAGATCTCATGGCCCCCGCCATGATATCCACCCCCCCTAGTCATCACCCCCCTCTTTTCCGCTCCCGAGAGGAAGAAGCCCAAGAGGGCCCACGGGACCTCAAAGTTCGCCCAGTCTGCCCTCAAGACGGCCAAGCATGGCCCCAAGACTGCTCCAGGCGGCGCACAGGGCCTCCCAGGAGGCCCTCCAGGTGAGCCCAAAAATATTGCCAGACCATTCCTTGCCACAGGCTGGCCAGTGTTGTCGCGCTCTCGCCGTTTTCATGCGCCCGACAGCCGAAGGCGGCCCTCATAGGGAGCCCACAAAGGACGTACGCGCCCAGCTATGTACATGAACACGGCCCATCGATCCGCGAGACTGGCCGCATTATACGAACATTTGCGCAATGCGTACTCTCGAAACCAGCGTGGATGCATGTACGTGTACGTCCTTCTTTCGCTCCTGACCCCAGGGCCCCCAAGAAAGCCCCAAGACGGCCAGACAAGCCCCCCGGAGAGCCCGAAGACGAGCACGGGCAAATAGGCCCCCAAAAAGGCCCCCACGAAAGGCCCAAGAGGCCCTCAAAGGCGGCGATACAGCGCCCCAAGGCGCCCCAGCGTCGGCCCAAGATGCCCCAGAGAGGCCCCCAAATGACCTCCAGGAGGCCACCCCCAGGCCTCCAACACGTCCACAAGAAAGCAACCTCCTCGTCGCCCTTTTCATCCCTCTCCTTATCCTCCTCATCCTCCGTCTCATCTCTTCCTCCCCAACTGTTCCCCCGATTGTTCCGCCATGGCCAGGAGAACGCATGGTTCAATTTCTTGGCCAAGCTTTGACGCAACGTGCTTCCAACAGGCAGGGGGCGGCGGCGGTTCGCCGTGGTCGTCTCGAGACACCACGCGGAATGTCCCCGGGACCTTCGGAGTCATCAGTGACCCTCAGCTGAGTACCGCAAGCGCTCTTCAGAAGTCCCCCATGTGCCGAGTTGCCAGAGCCGGGGCCCCGTTTGCCGAGTTGCCGATGGGTGCGTCGCGTGACCTTCGGCGCGTCCCGTTGGACTGCCCCCCAGGCCAGAGGAGCACAGAGACGGACCCCGAGGGCCCAAAGAGGCCATCAAGACAACACAATCTGGCACCGAGACGGCCCAGGGGCGATCCAAAACGGCCCAGAGAGCTTTCCAAGATGCCCCAAGATGGCCCCATGAGGGCCCCCGAAGGCACATATCATTGATCCCCATTTGAGTTGAAGGATGTCTGCATCATGCACTCCTGCCGATGTCGAGCGCTCCAACACGGCCAGCGAAGCCTCCAAGACCGCCCCATGACGACACCAACAGCCCGAAAGAGGGCCCCAAGGCGGCCTCAGGAGGGCCCCCAGAGGGCCCAGGAGGCCCCAGAAAGGGCACAAGAGGGCCCCAAAGACTCCAAGAGAGGGAAAGAGACTGGGCGCCGAGATGGCGAGAAAAGACCCCAATCAGGGCTACAAGCAGAAGCATCCACGAGGCAACCAAGAGGTACTCGAAGATCCCCAACGGGGCATCCAAAAGCCCTTGGGCCCGAATCCAGGCACGGTAGCAAGATGAACTGCAGGACAATATATATACATATAACAAGTATATGTGCACTGATGTATTGATATAAGCATACATAACTGCAACACGTAGGTGTGACCACATACATATTTACACATACATATATATGAATATATGCATGCGTGCTGTGTATGTATAGATGAGTCGATGTATACGTTTGACAGCGCCGAGAAATAAGTATACATGGGTTAGATGATACGCAGACTTCCAGGTCGGCATCTACGTATATATGTCGACCCTATTCAACTGTTCATATATACATACAGACGTGTGCGCCCACATGTATCTTATACCTTTAGGCGCCAGCCAGCGTCGACCCAAAGCAGTGTGCTTCTTGCAACTAACGTAGTGCAACCTACGATATGCAATATGTGTTGTGCAATGTGCGCATCCTATGTTGTGCGATGTATGCTGTGCAATATCCGCCACTTTGCCTTCAGGCACGGAGAGGGCGTGACCTCAGGTACTTTGGTGTCGTTCTCAATCCTCTGGATAAGAGGTTCTTAAAAGGACCCCGACCCAAGCGGGCCAACTATCCTCAGGTCCGGGACGGCATGTCGTATGTGTTTTTTTTGATTGATCGATCTCCTTCAAAATAGCGCAAAAATGCCCATGAGGCCCCCGAAGGTGCACAAGAGGATCCCAAGAGGCCCCCAAGAGGCCCCAAAGATGCTCCCATATAGAAGGCTCCCAAGAGACCCCCAGGACACCCCCAGGGGCCCCCCCACAGGCACTCAAAACGCCCCAAGAGGCCTCGGCATTGATTGACTAAGGTTTTGGCCACATTTTGGCCTTCTGGGGCGGGGACCCTGTTTCAGAAGCCCCCCTCCTTTGATCGACCTCCTCCAGGATGGCCCAGAGATGGCTCCCGAGGCTCCCAAGGGTAAGGGCCCCAAGAGGTGCCCAAGAGGCCCCAAGAGGCCCCCAAGAGGCTCCCAAAAGACCCCAAAGACGCCCCCGGAGGCCCCCCACAGGCACTCAAAACGCCCCAAGAGGCCTCGGCGAGATGGCCCAAACCATTGATTTACAAAAAGTTTGGCCATATGTCGGCTTCCTTGGGGAGACAATACTGGAGCTCCCCTACTTTGACCGGTCTCCTCCAAAAAAGCCCAAAGATGGCCTCCGAGGCTCCCGATGGTGCGCCAACAGGGCCCCAAGAGGTGCTCACGAGGCCCCCCCAAAGGTTCCCAAGATGCCCCCAAGAGGCTACTAAACCGCCGGGACTGCCAAGAGACTCCCAAGACGACCCGAGAGAACTCCAAGAAGCTTTCGATATAATTCAGAAGAGACTCCGAGAGGCATCCAAGAGGCCTGTGGCCTTTCTCCTCGCCCTCCACCTTCTTCTCCTCCTCATCCTCCTCATCCTCCGCTTCCTAATCAGCCTGTTCCTCCTTCTTCCTCGTCCCTCCTCCCCCCCTCCCTACTCCTCATCCCTCTCTTGCTCCTCCTCCGATTCTTCCTCCATCCTCCCCCTCTTGAAGCACGTCCTCTTACCAGCCCTTGATTCCAATGCGTTCTCCTGCATTCCCTGATCAGGAAGGCAGCTCGTCTGGACATCGATTATTGATGGGCTTGTGGCGTTATGATAAGCCTCCAGAGTCTATGTTCTGCAGCCTGCGTTGTGCAATATGTTGCGTGCAAATCATGCGGCGCACTCTCTGTGATGCAGTCTAGGCTGTGAGATCTACGTGGTGCAATGGTGCAACCTATGTGATGCAATCTGCGTAGTGCAGGCTATGTCGTGCGGCGGCGAGGCGGCGACGGCGACTACGTAGCCGCCAGACCAACGGTCAGGCCCAGACGACGGGCGGCGGCGAGACGGCGACGGGGCGGCGACGGCGTTCACAGACCCGCCAGACCAACAGCCAGGCCCAGACGACAGGCGGCGACGAGGCAGCGGCGGGGCGGCGGCGGTGACCACAGGTCCGCCAGACCAACAGGCAGGCACAGTTCCTTGGACAAGGAGTAAGAACCCCTAAGTGCAAGCACTGGTGGGGAAGTCTGTGTGTTTTGATATACATGACTACATTTATACACTTGTATGTATGTATTTATGTATGTATGTATGCATGCATGCATGCATGCATGCGTGTATGTATGTATGTATGTATGTATGAATGAATGAATGAATGAATGAATGAATGAATGCATGAATGAATGAATGAACGTATGCATGTATACATGTATGCATGTATGCATGTATGCATGTATGCATGTATCCATGTATGCATGCATGTCTGTATGTATGTGGGCAGGTAGTGGGTAGGCTGGTAGGTAGGGAGGTAGGTCGGCAGGCGGGTAGGTCGGTAGGTGGGTCGGTAAGTAAGTATGTACGCATCCAGCCCTGCTCCTCGACCGATCGGGCAGCAGCGAGGCCACCGCGGGAGCGGCGGTGTAGGAGCCGCCGCCCGCCGCCGGGTACGCCGCCTGCTGGCGGCAGGCATGCTGGAGGGACGGGCCCCCGCAAGAAGAGGCGGGTCCCAGGTGCCGGGCCGCTCCCCCGAGGCCGGGTCCACTGAATCCTCAGATGTCTGAACATCTGATTCGCGTTTCCCCCGCCTAGCACACCGTTTCGCGGCCCCATCACGAGCTCCACCGAAGGCCCCACACCCAATACAGCGCTTCGTGGTCACATAGGGAGGTCCACCGAAGGCCCCAGTGGCTGCACTCGCATGCGGTTCCCCCACCCAGTACAGCGCTTCGTGGCCCCATGGGGAGCTCCAAGGAAGGCCCCAGTGGCTGCTCTCGCATGCGGGACCCTCACGCAGTACAGCGTTTCGTGGCCTCGTCGGGAGCTGCACCGAAGGCCTCAGTGGCGGTGTCCGCATGCGGTTCCCCCACCCAGCACATCGCTTCGTGGCCCCATAGGGAGCTCCACCGAAAGCGCGCGTGGCTGCACTCGCATGCGTTTCACTCACCCAGCACAACGTTTCGTGGCCCCACAGGGAGCTCCCAATGGTGGTTTCCGCATGCGTTTCCTCCACCCCATAAGTACACCGTTTCATGGCCCCATACGGGGGCTCCTCCGACAGCCCCAATGGCGGCCCCGCCTCATTTTGGCGCACCCCTCACACGTTTCGCGGCGACATAGCGGGTTCCGTGTAAAGCCCTAGTGGCAGCGCCCACATGGCGGTCCCGCCCCACATCGGCACATTCTTCGCATGCTTCATGGCCCCATGAGGAGATTGCCCGAAGGCGATGCCCGCAACGACGGTGCGCACAACTGCATATGGTATGGCCCTTCGCCAGGATGTTTTGTTTTCTTTTGCTATTTCCGCCTCTGGGGTCCCGTATCAGGGCCGGGGCCATCTCAGACGCGTCGAGGACGAAAATCCCCCCATGTGGAAGGGGTCGAAATCTCTATGTGACCGTTTTCTTATTCGGCGTTTCCACATTGGGCGGAAGGGGGGCTGGGACCCGGCGGCGTCTGGCTCCGGACCTCTGCTTGATGCCACTGCTTGCAACAGTGCGTCCTAGGGGGGAGACCCCACCTGCTCGAAGCAGGCACCAAGAACAGGCAAGATCTGCTCCAGGCGGGGCGGGAGGCGGGGTGCGAGGGCCCACGCCAAGCGGCAACACAATGAAGAAGAACACGCACACGGTTACAGGGCCGCGCACTTCAAAAAACTCACGCCGTCGGATGCCCGGATCCACGACTCGCGTTTGACGGCCCAGAGGCCCAGAGAGAGCCCTGGGCCCGCAAGCGGCCAAGCGCATCCAGGAACCCTTTCCCTCAGAACTGAGGGGGCTCGACAGAGGGAGAGGGGGACCGCCTGGAGGTGACAGACAATGCCTTGAGAAATTGGCGGTACCTCTCCGCCTCATCGGCGATAAGGCCTCGAGGGGGAAGCCTGACCCTTCCTGGACGGGGTGGGGCACCCAGGTCACGACCGGCGTGGAATGGACGACCAGGGGTCGATGATTCGCCCCCTGGGGCCCCAAAGAACTCCGACGTCGCGATGTCTCTCGCAACGTGTCTCGGGGATGGACAGACCTCCCTTTAGTAAAGCGTGGTTTAGTGAATACGACCTGAGGCCCAAACCTGGCGGGCGCAAGCCTGGAAAATAACGGCCGCGGCGCCCTCTCGAGAACCGAAAACGGACAATTCACTAATCGATGTGTCACTGTTGGGGGTTCTGTCCACCCCCGAAAGAACTCCGACGTCGCGATGTCTCTCGCAACGTGTCGCCCCAGAGATCCGGACACGCCGTCCCGGGAGCGGTGCCCCTATCCGAATCGTGTTCTCTGATAGCCCTGGAGCCTTGCAGAGGTCAGGCTTGGTTTTTCCCGATTATAGACTCCTCCTCCTCCTCCTCCTCCTCCTCCTCCTCCTCCTCCTCCTGACAAAGAATCGAAAACCAAATATACACTCTTGGCGCTCCGCGCGGATGGCTTGGTTCCGCGCAGGGCACCCTCCCTGGCGCGCGGAAGCGCGACGGGGGCGGCGCCGGAGGCGCCGCCACGGGGCCCCAGCGCAGGTCCAACAGAATAATGCCTCTATCTAATTGTATACACTTCTCGATTTGTGCGTGTCATCCTTGCGCAGGGGCCATGCTAATCTTCTCTGTATCGTTCCAATTTTCACGGATGATCCCCGAAGGGAATCCCGAAGAATGCCTCTATCTAGGTACCTACCCTCCCCGGGGGAAAAGGTGCCTATGTCATATGCCTGTGTCGATGCTCATCGCCGCGGTGAACTGGACATCTGGCCATCATACGCTTATCTAAATCATGCCATCGCTCGGTGACATCCCCTCCGCGTGCCTTTTGTGTCGGTTTCGCGCGCTCCTTCTGTGCAACCTCGCCGAGAAAAAACGCGTCCGAACGATGCCAAGAAATGCCAATCCCCCTGTCGGAGAGATGCCCACCACATGCATGTGGGAGGAGCAAGCCTGTGGGGGCAGACAACACCTGCAAACCTCGGCCGTGGTGCTCGCATCTCTGGGTGCTCCTCCCTGGGAGACGAGACCGCAGCGGGTCTTAGAAGAACCCCTCCCCTGTAATGGGACACACATTACAGATTCTGCCGCGGGCTCGAACTGACGGACCGCGGCCCCAACATACCGTACATGCAAATGATTAGATTCCGCCGCGGCGGCCACCGCCGAGGATTGTGGTGGAGATGGGGGCCTCTGATGGTGATGAGGATGATGAGGGGAAGTGCGAGGTGGGGAGGGACGACTCTTGCCATCGCTCGGACTTCCAGGAAGCCATTCCCTGTTTCGCGCTTCGCAGATGTTCGCGCGTACATGTTTTGCAAGATGGTCCAAGATGCTGCTCGATGGTTCGTCGACAAAAAAGTGCACACGTCCGAGAGATGCCAAGGAGATGAAGGAGTTGAATTGCCACCGAGAGCTTTGGGGAGGCATCATTATGTTTTTTCTGCGGTTAAGCGCAAACGTCGAAACCCAATTTGAAATTTGACGCGAACTCCATCTACAATCGTCCCACGAAAACTGTGCCGTCAACGTTCACGTTGAAACCGTCGAAAAGCGTATGCAATCTCAAGCCCAAGCAAATTGGGCGCCCGAGGTATCCCGGGTAACTCGGGTACGGAGTAACTCGGGCTCGGGATCCAGAAAAACAAACCCGAGTTAGCTCTGACCCGAGATACCCCTGATGACTCGGGGCTCTGGACGCCCGAATTATCTGGGGTAACTCAGGCCCGGGGTAACTCGGGTTCGGAATCCCGAGAAACGGACTTGAGTTAGCCCTGAGCCGAGTTACCCCTGATGATTTGGGGCTCTGAGCAAACTCGAATCTTACGTTTCCCCAGCTGGAGTACGCTTTCTTCCCCGGCGGCCGTTCGGGACGACCTGGGCACCCCGGGAACTCTCTTCACGAGGCGCGGCTTCTGACACACACATGCAGATGCAGCAAAACCGCAAGGAACCGCAACATTCCTGACCTCTTCCTTAACGTTCCACCCGAAGCTCCCCCCCTCATTCTGGCTGGAGGCCTCCTAGATGGGGGCCCAGCGGATGGGGCTGGAAGATCGCGCCGCATCGCTGGATGCAGCGGCGATGCGGCGAGATCCTCCGGTCCCATCTGCTTGAGCCCAATGTGGTCGGGGACGCAATGACGCGGGCCAATGCAAACCTGGGCCAGTCAGGCCTTGCAATGTCAAGCAAGATCCTGCACGCCAGCCCAGGTCAGTGCAGCCCTGGCTCCGCAAGATCCTGCAAGATCTGGCGCTCGGGCTGACCCCTGTTTGCATTGACCCCCGTCCCCAGACCCCCGACGTCCCCCGTTTGCATTGACCCCCGGCCCAGACCCCCGACGTCGTGTTTTTTTTCACAACGTCGACCCCCAGAGGCCTCGACCCATTCCCCAGGACCGATGTTTCATCCTGACTCGTTTTTGGATGGCCCGGAGGCCCGGTGAGGGTTCCCGGAGGCCGAACACAGCGAAGAACGTCCCAACGCGAGGGGGTTTGGGTCTTGAGGCCCCCGATGTGGGAGGCCTAGATCTCCCCCAGCTGAAAAAAACCCGTTCTACGGAACTAAGCTTTACACACCGACGCCCTTTTGCGGCAATGCACTGACGCTTGCACAGGAAAGCGGACCCTGGTGTATACGGGATCCTGGTGTATACTTTCTTCGCTGCCTCCCCGGAAAAAAGGAAGAAAAAACATACACAACGCCACCCCGACGTCGTGCCCGACCGTGAAAAAGTCCTGGGATTGAGCAACAGCCCGCGACTGGTAATGTATGGAGGTCGTCAGTGCACAAGAATCCTTCCACAAAAAACTAAACCCTGAGACCCCAGGACGTCCATTGGTTTTCGGTACGGGAACGTCACGGTTTCCATAGCAGAACCATCGAACCCAGGAAACCCAGGGCACCCTAGAGGCAAGCAGGGTGTTTCTTGGCATGGGTTTCCACACCACACCACCTCGACGTCGTCCCCGACCCTCAAAAACTCCAGGGATTGTGCACAACAGCCCGCTACTAGTAATGATTTCGTTCCAATTTCCGACTTTCCTCCACGGCGAGCCTTGGCCCCCGATGTGGGAGAGCTTCCGCGGCTGAAGGGCCCTTTCTAGAAGAATAAAAACGCCATAAACAACTGTTGGCGATCCGCGCGAATTGTTGGGGATCTGCGTTGAGCCCCCCTCCCTGGCGCGCGGAGCGTGCCAGGGGCGGCGCCAGGGGCGCCCAGCGCACATCCAAGAACTCCGCGAGGAGCGCCAAAAGTTGATGGTTATGGCGTCTGCTCTTCTTCGACTCTTCTCCATCGCTTCCCGTCGCAGAACATCGCAAAACCAAGAAACCCAGGGCACCTGGAGGCAAGCAGAGTACTTCTTGGCACGGGTCTCCACTGTACGCTCCACTTTCCAGCTCTCCTTCGGGGATTTCCTGACCCGGGTCTATCCAGACCCGGGTCAGTCGGGCCTTGCAGGATCCTGCGAGATCCTGCAAGATCCTGCACCCAGACCCGGGTCCACGCGAAGGATCCTGCAAGACCCTGCAGAATCCTGCTCCCCAACCCGGGTTGATGCGACCCTGGCCCTGCAGGATCCTGCAAGATCGGGCGCATTGTTGAACAGGGACCGACCGTCCCGGCATTCCTCTAGTCATTCCACGAAATGTTCTTAGAATCCAGATATGTTCTAAGAACAAAACATGTTCTTAGAACCTGAACCCGATGTGTTAAAAGGAGGCAGACCCAGCAAGAACTGTTCTAAAAACATCTCGTGGGGACCACAGGAAGGTTCTCAGAACATTGCTTGGTGGGGCTATCGGCGAGCCGGGACGCTTCGCCACTGCTCGACATTGGCTGGCCCCCGTTTGCCCTGGCCCCCGTCTCGAGGCTCCCGACTCCGAGGAGGAAGAGGAGGAGGAGGATGATGATGATGATGATGATGATCAGGAGGAGGAGGAGGAAGAGGAGGAGGCTCCCGACTCCTCCACGGCGAGCCTGGGCCGGCGGGGCGTAGGAGCCGCCCGCGGCGGCCGTCGTGTAGGCCGCGTACGCCGCGGCGGTGGTCGAGTGCGCCGCCGCGGCGCCCTGCCCCGCGCCCCGCGGCGCCCGGCGGGGGGGAGGCGCGGGGTGGGGGCGCGGCGCGGGCCCCTCCTCCTTTTCTTCCTCCTCCTCCTCCTCCTCCTCCTCCTCCTCCTCTCTCTCCTCCTCCTCTCTCCTCCTCCTCCTCCTCCTCCTCCTCCTCCTCCTCTCCTCCCTCTCTCTCCTCCTCCTCTCTTCTCTTCCTGCTCCTCTGCCTCCTCTTCCTCCTCCTCCTCCTCCTCCTCTTCCTTCCACCCTCCCATCCCTCCCATCCCTCCCTCCCTCCCTCCCTCCCCCCCTCGCGCAGCGACGAAAGTGAGCGGTTTCTTACAGTAGGAGCCCGACCACAAGGAACCTTGCACAAGAAACCCCAACCCTGAGACCCCAGGACGAACATTGATTTTTCTGGTGTGGGCATGCCATGCTCTGCATCGCTGGAACCATTTTTCTGGCCTGGGCATGCAAAACCATCGAAACCCAGGAAACCCAGGGCACCCTGGAGGCAAGCAGGCTGTTTCTTGGTATGGGTCTCCACTGCATTCGGCGTTTCGACCTTGGGCGGAAGTTCGGTTGACCCGAAACGGGGTCCAGCTGAAAAGGAGGTGGTGCGTTTTTTTTTTTGCAACCGTGCGTCCTCTGGTGGAGAAGCAGGGGCTAAAAACAGCCAAGATCTACTCGAGGTGGGGGGAGGTGGGGGTGCGAGGGCCCGCGCGGATCGGCAAAACAATGAATTAGAAAACGATCACAAACTCGACGGGCCATGTTCAGCTGCTTTTCCGCACCTGCGGGCCCAAGACGAAGCCACACCGAAGACAGAATCGGGAGGGGAAGCATCGAGGAACCCTGAGATGTGGCGGATCCGGGAACTGTATCAGGCGCCGCGGCCTTCTCAGAGCGTTCCGGGACGCTTTGATCGGCGGTGGGCAAACCTCCCTTTAGTAGACCTCACCTTCGTGAAAACGGCCTGGCACCGAAACCGACGGAACTGGGCCCGCAAAAATGACGGCCGCGACGCCCTCCCGCGAACCGAGAACGGCCAATTCCTCAATCGACGTGTCAGGGTAGGAGGTCTGTCCACCCCCGATTGGAGAGCGTTCCAGAGCGCGCTGGAGCGGATTCGTCCTCGTCCTGGCCCCGCGCGAGGGCCCTCGCCCGGCCCCCCTGGGGCCGTCGGGGGGAAAGGCCGGTCCCCAGGAAGGCGTCTGCAGTTCACGCAATGATGAAGGGGCCCTGGAACACACAAATAGACACACACAAATAGAAAGATTCCCCTATATCTTTATATATTGTCTGGGTTTCTGTCTTCCCCCCCACTTCCCATATTTTCGTATATTTTCTGGGGAATCGACGATTAATTGTGTCTGTGTGTTTTTCCCCCTCCTGAAATGACAGAGATCATGGCGTCGGGGGTCTTGGGGCGGGGATCGGGGTTCGGGCGCGGCCCAGCCGCCCCCTAGCAGACCATCTCCGTCCGTGACGTCGTCCTCGCCTGTCGAGCTCCCCTGGGCCGCATGCGTACGTCTTGGGGCGAGGCTATGGGGACGTCACGGAAGGGGATGGCTTGCTACGCCGAACGAGGGGGGGGGGGGCAGGAAGGTAGGGGGCTATAGCGAATCGTGGCCCCGGGCACGTGCGCGGACGAGGGCGGATGGAGAGAAGAGCGAGAGAGGGGAGCATGCAGTATGAAAACTTTGTGGAGACCTACTTTAGGAAGCAACTGCTGGGAGATCTTCGTGGGAAAAGGAGGAGCTGTTATGCCGGATGAAGTCGCGGATTGTGCCAAAGCAAGCGGGATTTAAGCCGAATTAACCAATATCAAGCGGGATTAAGCCAGATCACGCCGGACTTCGGACCGCAGAGTAAGACCATGACCCCCCAACAGCTGCGTCCGATTCTGCTGCCCTGCAGTCAGTGCACACCCGGGGTCAGCCGGGACTTGCAAGATCCCGCAAGATCCTGCAGGATCCGGATCTGGCGCCCTAATCTGGGTCAATGCACCTCTTTGAGCAGGGACCGACCGTCCTGGCATTCCTGTAGGCCTACCACGGCATGTTCGTCGAACCCCAACATGTTCTGAGAACAGAGATAAGGTTCTTAGAACATAAAACCGATGCAGTAAAACAAGACAGTCCAAGCCAGAAATGTTCTAATACCTTTTCGTGAAAGCCGCGAAAAGAACTGAGAACATGGTTTGGTAGGCCTATAGGCACGTCGGGACGCTTCGCCACTGCTCGACCCCTGGCTCTGCAGGATCCTCCGGCGGCGACGGGTGAGCAGACGCATGCGACCCGCAGGTGCTGCGATGGAGCGAAGGAGTGTCGGATAACAAACAAACAAAAACACGCCCGACGAGGCCGCGCCATCGCGGAGCAGGCGGAGCGAGCGACCGCGGATGCCTCTCGCTTTGCTCTTCCCGCCCGGCCGTGGCCTGGGACGCGCAGGGACATACTACTACTACTACTACTACTACTACTACTACTACTACTACTACTACTACTGCTACTACTACTACTACTACTACTACTACTACTACTACTACTCCTACTCCTACTCCTACTCCTACTCCTACGACTACTACGACTACTACGACTACTACTACTACTACTACTACTACTACTATATGCCCACCTGGGAGGCGCGCCTCCGACCCGAACACATAGCACAACCGTCTTGCAGTAGATCGCGTCCACAGCGGTGTGGCCAGAAAACGCCCGCCACGACGCATACGCTATGAAATTCCCGGGTGCGCGTGTCGCCCCGAAAGGGGGGGGGGGGGGGGGGGGCGACGCACATATAGTATTAGTATAAGCATGCTGGGGTGGCGCCGATGACCCTGATCCTGGTCCCCGCCTGCCTGGAGTGACCCCTGGCTCCCAGGCCCCGCGCCCCCCCCATGCGCCGCGAAGCACTCGCGAGGGGCAATCATTGCCAGTCTTCGGCCTTTCTGGGGGGAGGCCCTCGCCGAGCGCCCGTTCGCCGAGCGCCAGGGGGGGGGGGGGTCAACAGAACGACTCAGGCTGAGAAGCCAGCCCAGGGGAAGGGGTCCAGACCTCTGAGGTCCACGTCGTGAAAAAAGCAAGACGTTAAGGGAGTTGGGTTCTCCTCCCTGGAGTGGTCCCCGGCCCTCCTTCCTCTTCCTTGCTCCTCGGCTCCTCTCCTCCCCCCGCAGGCAATATGCAGGTCACCTCCCCCCGATTGTGCACGAGGCCTCTTGTCGAGAGGGCATTGGAGCCGCAAGCGCTCGACGAGGGGCGCCCAAACCAGACGAGCAACGAAAAGAAACAAATCTCACGCACGATGACACTGCGACCTCGCTTGCGCGGTGGCTCACGCGGGCCGCCAGCGCGGCGCGCTGCATTGGACACGAGGGCGCTCACGCGCGGCTTTGCGCGGGAAGCGTGCGCGCGACTGTCGGCGCAACCGAACCCACTTTCTTCCGTCGTTCAGCCCCCGAGGCGCGCAACTCTACGCGGGCCACCCCGTCCTTGCCATCGCTCGGACGTTCATTCCCCGTGCATTTTTCGGTCTTGTGCGTGTTGTCGTGGCTCAAAGAGCAAAGATGCCCGTCGATTGTCTTCGCCGAAAAAATGCACACGTCCGAGCGATGCCAAGCGCCTGTCCTCTCCTCTTCTCGCCCCGGCCGCCGCGTAGGCCGGCATCGCACTGGGCGCGGCGTACTGTGCGTACTGGTGCTGGGAGAGCACGCCTCCGTAAGACATCGCGCTTCCTGTGGACGGGGAGAACGGGGGGGAGGAAAGGGGTGGGAGAGGAGGAGGGGGAGAAGGGGGATGAGGGTGAAGAGGAAGGGGAAGGGGGGGGAGCATGGCGAGAGGGGGAGAAGGGGGGACGGGGGGGAATGAGGGGATTCTGCAGATTCTGCGCAGTCACAACAATTAATGTGATACAGAAGATGCGCCCCTGGAACACCATGAGCAGCGCGGCGGCGAGGGACAGGCGGCCGGCCCACCCGTGGAGCCGGCCGAACAGCCAGTGGAGCACGCGTAAAACGCGATACTCGCCAAAGGAGCCCCTCCACAATTGATATGTTCACTCCTGCCTGGCCAAACCACCTAGAGATGGCCAGGCGACGCGCACTTGTGGAAGGGAGAGAAAGGGAGGGACAAAGGGGGGAGGCGAGGCGAGGGAGGATGGGGTCGGAGGGGGGAGGGGGAGGGGAAACAGCAGCAGCAACGGTGGAGAAAACTGCGTGAAGCCAGGGGATATGATCGGGGACGCTGGGCGGGAAGAGCTGAGGGGAAGGAGGAGGAGGAAAGAAGGAGGAGGAGGAGGAGGAGGCGGAAAAAGGAGGAAGAGGGGAGGGGCGACAGCGCCACCTCCTCTTCCTCCTCCTCCTCCTCCACCTCCTCCATGACGCACTGCTGCCCGTCTGTCTCAACATCCTCCTTTCGGCGCTGGCCAAACCTCCCTTTGGTAGACCTCCCCTGAGTGAAGACGGCCTGGGACCGAAACCGACGGGCCTGGACCCGCAAAAATGACGGCCGCGACGCCCCCTCGGGAGCCGAAAACGGCCAACTCCTTAATCGACGCGTCCGGGAAGGGGAAGGGGGAGGAGGAGGAGGAGGAGGAGGAGGAGGAGGAGGAGGAGGAGGAGGAGGAGGAGGAGGAGGAGGAGGAGGAGGAGCAGCAGGAGCAGGAGAAGGAGGAGAAGGGGGAGAAGGCCCTCACAGAGCCACCAGGGCTGCCGGGGAGCCCCGCCGCCCTCTTGGAGGGCTGCCCCCCCTCTCGCCGCACCCCCGGGCGAGCCGCCGAGACACCCTGGGCGTGGGACACTCCGAGGAGGAGGAGGAGGAGGAGGAGGAGGAGGAGGAGGGGGAGGAGGAGGAGGGGGAGGAGGAGGAGGAGGAGAAAGAGGAGGAGGACTCCGTGGCATGGCACGTCGCCACAGGGAGGGGAGAGCAGCGCCATGCGAACGTCTGCTTCGGCGGTGGACAGACCTCCCTTTCGTAAACCGATCCTTCTGGCCCCCCATCATCCCCCCCCCACCCCACCCTGTGGACACCACGCCCTCGCGAACGGCAAAGCTCGTCGGAACCACGCCCCCCCGTCCTGCAAAGAGCGCCGCGCAATTGCCACCGTGCGCGCCCCTCCTCGCCCTGCCTCGTGCTCGGGGAACACTCGCTCGTCTGCTCCTCGTCCTTATCGCTAAGTCAGGCCTGTCCCCCTACAGGGGGATTTTCGACGAAAACTAAAAAATACCCCAAGAATGGTAAAACAATGATCCAAACACAGTCCGGGGACTGCTTGTCGAATATTGTTTTGCACCTTTTTGGAACATTTTTAGGGTACTCCGTATTCCATAATAAAGGCGGGGGGGTCACATTTGGGAGGGGGGCTGATTTGAGGTGTCTTGGAGGGTTCGGGGGGGTCTGGGCAAAAGGCCGCCCTTTCATGGATAGTCTGAGGGGTCTAAAACTTCTCGTCTGGGAGGATTGTGACCCCCTCCCTTTTATTACGAACTCTGGAGTATTTGTTTTTCATTTTCGTCGCAAATCCCTCTGTAGGGGGACAGTCCCGACCTAGAACCTTGTCGGCCTCCTCCCGCTCCCAACTCTCGGACAGGTCCTGGGACCCGGGCGGGCCCGGTCCTGCCCGAGCCCCGCGCCGAAAAGCATCGGGGACTGCCCAGCCACGGGGGACGAAACAACGACTCCCATCCTCCTCCACCGGCTCCTCCTCCCCATCCTCTATCTCGCCATCGCTCGAACGTCCATTCCCTGTGCTTTTGTTCGGTTTCGTGCGTGGTTGTTTCGCCAAATGATCAAGGATGCTCCTCGATGGTCCTCGCCGAAAGAAAGATGCACACGTCCGAGCGACGCCACGCTATGAACATCCCAACCGTCAGGTCCCGGCCGTGGAGCGTTGGCCGAGTCTGCGGGCCTTGCTGCGTGGCAGGATGCACCCTCCAAAAAAAAACATATGCCACGCGCCAGGAGATAAGGACGATCAGGAAGGCGAGGATGGCAACAAGCAAGGGCAAGAGAAGGAAGAGGGGTGGGAGCAAGGGGGAGGACTGGGAGGGATATGCAAGAACGAGACGACTCCGACGAGAAGGAATCGCAGGAGCGGGAGAGGAGGGGGAAAAGGAGGGGGGCAAAAGGAGAAGGAGAGACTAGAAAGACCAACCAAACGCATGATGCAGCACCGGGGTAGAGGAGAAAAGAAAGAAAGGTAGAGAAACAGTGTAGACAAGCAACTACCACGGGGAACGTTTCACAAGAAAGGATGCCCCTGTTTAGCCCTAGTAATCACCTGGGCCCAAGAGGAGCGATAGAGGAACGACCATGGAAGAACGCAAGAGACGACTAACCCCTTCCGAACTCGAACGGCTCATGATTCCATGAGTGTGAACAATACGGGTGTCAGCTCAGGGAGCCGATAGATCGGAGGTAGGCCACCGGTCGCGCATCCGCATGGTCCTGGGCGGAGTGGGTCATCAGGCGCCCGCCGGCGATGAACTGGCGACTGCGAGTCGATACGGGCCCCCTCTGAGCCTATCCCACCTGACATGGCCCCCTGGCTTTCGGGCCACAGTCGGGGTCGGCAAAGGGAGGGGCGTCCAAGAGGGCTGGCGGCATGTGCGCGGCCCAGGGGGGGGGGCCAGGGACGTAGTGGAATAAGAAGAGTTGGGCGCCCGAGTTATCCGGGGAAACTCGGGTCCGGGGTAACTCGGGTTTGGATTCCCGAAAAACGAACCCGAGTTAGCCCTGACCCGAGTTACCCCTGATGATTCGGGGCTCTGAAAGAGGCGCCATGGAATCTGGGGAGATATCATGGCCCCCGCCATGATCTCCCCCCCCCTATTCATCACCCCCCTCTTGGCCGCCCCTGCCACAGCTCGGCTGTCCAGCGGCCGC